AGGTAAGCCCCAAATCATGTAGCTTGAAAGTAGCAGGGCTTTAAATTGAATCCAGAGCTTTGAAAGGGAGAAATCATCCCCCAGTGGAGATGGCCACGCTGCAATCCCTTCTCCTCCAGTTTCTTCTCAGGATCCTGGGCATGCATGCATATGCGCCCGGCGTGAGTTTAAGCCACCAGGTCCGGGGCTCAAACCACAGTCAACTACATGGGAGTCCAGAGACATAGCCATTATGCCAACTGCTGGCCCCAAATCCAGAGCTTTTTATAAAGGTTAAAAGGGGGGTGAGTAGCAGTAAAATGTGATAGTCTGCAAGGCTGACCAACATAAGAAGATTCTAGGCTTATATATAGATACCTCACCAAGTACACCATGTACACATGTGCCCATGAACTAAGCTGGCTTAGACTGAAATGGATCTCAGTGTCAAGACCCTTTTTTTAATTATTATTTTTATTTAACTTTATTTATTTGCTTATTTAGAGTGACAGAGAAAGAGAGAGAGGGAAAGTGAGAAAGCAGGCCGCCAGGTCCGGGACTCAAACCACAGTTGGCCATGTGGGAGTCCAGTGCCCTTAACCACCATGTCACCCACCGGTCCCAAGACTCTTTTAGATGTACTCTCCTTAAAAACAGAAAAGAGGAGGAGCCAGCGAATAGTGTGGTCGTTAAGGCACTGAGTTCCTACATGATTTATAGCGGTTCAAGTCCTTGACCTGGTGGCCTGAAAATCATGCCAAGCACGTGTTCATGCATGCCCAAAATCCCATGAGGAGAATGGAGAAGGGATTGTAGTGTGGCCATCCTGGGGAGTGATTTCTCACTTTTCCTCTCACTGTCACTGTCTACCTATATCTCTCTCTAGTAAGCACACACACCCTATGGCAAAAACCACACAGTCTGAGTCCCAGACACAGTGGCTTGAAAAATACACCAGACTCTTGCACATGCACACCCCAACCCCAAATGAAAGGAGAAATGGAGAAGGAATTGCAGCATGACTACATCCCACTGGGGTAGGGGTGCTTTTTCCCCATCACTATCTGGTAAGCACACACACCCTCCAACAAAAAAGGGGGGGAAAACAGCCATTCAGGCACAATAAGATACTTAACTAACTCTAATCTTTGTTCTCTTATTCCCAGATTAGGTGACTTCAGAGGAAACCCTGAAGAATCCCACCAGGCCAGATAGGTGCAGGGACCCTGAGCTGACCTATTCCTCTACTAGACAATGACCTTGGGAAGTTGAGAACACCATCTTGCCTTTAGGTTGCCCTTCTCCTTTCTCTTCTGTCTGCTTTTCCTCTCACAGATGGCTCAAGTAAGATGACCAACAATCTAAAATTACATTTCTATACCACCTCCAGCCTCTGTGAGCCCCATGTCCTGTGTCTCATCACCCTCCTCTGTCACCGAGTATCTGTTCTGTTAAGGTAAGGCAGAGCATAAACTCGTCCTGGTATCTTTGTAGAAATGCCCTGCAACCTTGTGGTTAAGGGAACTAGATCCTACATGGCTGACCCCATTCAAATCCTGGCCCCAGTGACTTGAAAAACATGCACATGTGGGGCCAGCAGGTGGCATGGTGGTTAAGGGCACTGGACTCCCACATGGCTAACCATGGTTCAAGCCCTGGACCTGGCAGCTTGCTTTCTCACTCCCCCCCTTCTCTCTCTCTCTCTCTCTGGTCAAACTAAAATAAATAAATAAATAAATAAATAACAAATAAAGTTCAATAATTCTTAAAACAAACAAACAAACAAAAAAACATGCACACATGCCCCAAATCCCAATGAGATGGAGAAATGGAGAAGGGATTGTGGCATAACCACACCCTATCAGGGGGTGCCTCCCCAATGCCCATGGGCGCATACATGACACTTGGCAATTTTCTTTTTTAAATAATTATTTCATTTAATTTTATTTTAATTTGAACAGAGAGGAACAGAGAGAGGAGAGGGAAGGAGGGAAGGAGAGGGATAGTGAGAAAGCAAGCCACCAGGTCTGGGGACTCTAACTGTGGTCAGCCATGTGGGAGTCCAGTGCCTTCAACCCCGCCAGGTCCCCCACTGGCAATTAAAAAAAAAAGATGGAGGAGAAGGGATTACAGCATGTTCATCCCCTCTAGGAAGTGCTTTCTCTTTCTCTCTCTCTCTCTCTCCAGCGAGCACACATGCTCTGTAGCAAAACCTAAAAATTTTTAAAAATTTAAAATAAAAGGAGAAGAGAGGGAAGAAAAAGAATGCCTTATTCAGTATTTTTAAAAATTATTTTATTTAACTTTATTTATTTTAATTTGATTAGAGTGGGGAAAAGCAAGAGAGACAGAGCGGGAAAGTGAGAAAGCAAGCCACCAGGTCTGGGACTTGAACTGTGGTTGGCCATGTGGGAGTCCAGCACCTCCAACCATCATGCCACCTGCTGGTCCCAAGAATGCCTTATTCAGTATTATAAGTCAAATAAGGTGCTGGCAGGTGGCTTGGTGGTTAAGGGTGCTAGACTCCCACATGGTCAATCACAGTTTGATTCCCCCTGACTTGGAAGCTTGCTTTCTCATTTTCCCTTTCTCTCTCTCACTCTGTCCCTCTTAAATTGATTAATTTAAATAAATAAGGTTTTTAGAAACTGATGAATAAAATGAAATCATTCTTTTTAAAAAATATAGATCAAATAAGAAACCTTTATAATTAGGAAAGAGAACTGAACAGTTCTTTTTTTTTTTTTTTTTAAAGTTTTCTTTCTTTCTTTCTTCCATGACAGAAAAACAGACTAACACAGCACCCTCAATGGGACCTTCATGACATGATCCACCCTCAGCCTCAGTCAGACCAGACCATGGGCACATGCCCCCACACATGGCATGTACAAGGAGACCTCAGGACACAAACCAAGAACCCTCCCATGTGAATCCAGCTGCATCACCACCATAGCACCATCTGGACCCTGCATGTTTCCTTTGGGCTATCTTCAGAGAAAATAAGCAACTTAAACATTTGAAGTATATTTCACTTTTCTTTTTAGCCTAAGTAGGAAGTAATAAGAGACATAATCATTTCTAAAATAATCAGTGTGGCTTTCCACCTTTCCCATGGGGGAAGGACAATAACTTGTATTCTCCCCCGTGAAAGAGGAAACACCAGGCTCTCCACTCCACTTTCACAAGAGCTTCCCCATGATTTCTATCTTAAGACACTCCCCACATCTTTTAAATTCAATCTGATGATTTCCTTCAGTTAAAAAATTCACCTATGGGGAACCAGCAGTTAGCGTAATGGCTATGTCGCTGGATTCCCACATAGTTGACCGTGGTTCGCATCCCAGACCCAATGGCTTAAAACTCACGCTGGGAACGTGTGCGTGCGTGCCCAAGATCCCGAGAGGATAATGGAGGAGAAGGGATTGCGGCGTGACCATCCCCCCTGGGGGGTGATTTCTCGCTTTCTCTCTCTTTCTCTCTCTCTCTCTCTCTGTCTGGCGAGTGCACGCGCCCTATAGCGAAAAAACCTCTCTAAAAAAAAAAAAAAAATCAACTATGACCAGGGTTGATACCGTGTACCACCACTGGCCACATGAGCACAGTAAACATGGTGGGCCTAACCTCCTACTTTTGAGTTGCAGGGGTTCCAGGGGCCAGCAGGTGGAGACATGGTTAAGGGCACTGGACTCCCACATGGCTGACAGTTCAAGTCCTGGACCTTGTAGCTTGCCTTCTCGCTTTCCCTTTCTTTCTCTCTTGCTCTCTCCTGTTCTTGCTCTCATTTTGTCCCTCTCTAGTCAAATTAAAATAAATAAATAGGGACCAGCAGTTAGCGTAATGGCTATGTCGCTGGACTCCCATGTAGTCGAGTCCCCAACCTGGTGGCTTAAACTCACTCTAGGCGCATATGCATGCGTGCCCAAGATCCTGAGAGGAAGAGGGTTTACAACATGACCATCCCTCCTGGGGGGTGATTTCTCGCTTTCTGTTTCTCTGTCTCTCTTTGTCTTTCTGGTGAGCTCACACACCCTATAGCAAAAACCTCTCCAAAAAAAATTAAAATAAATAAATAAAGTTAAATAAAATAATTCTTTTTTTTTTTTTGAGAGAGAGGTTTTTGCTATAGGGCATGTGCCCTTGCCAGAAAGACAGAGACAGAAAGCGAGAAATCACCACTTGGAGGGATGGTCATGTTGTAAACCCTCTTCCTCTCAGGATCTTGGGCACGCATGCATATGCGCCTAGAGTGAGTTTAAGCCACCAGGTTGGGGACTCGACTACATGGGAGTCCAGCGACATAGCCATTATACCAACTGCTGGTCCCATAAAATAATTCTTTAAAAAAAAAAAAGTACAGGTTTCCAGAAGGCAGTACAGCAGTAACACATCTGGACCCACTTGGGGAAGTTCCTGGTTTACTTCTTGGGTTTACTTCTGGTTTACTGCTCTGTACACACGAGGCCCATAGGCCTCCTGGCTAAGACTGGAGGCAGACCATGGTATAAGGACCCTGTGTGTGGGGGGGTGCCTCTCTATATATCTCACTCGTTATTTCATGACATATACAAACTTAAAGAGGAAAAAATAAAACGTAAGGGTCTGAAATAACTTCAGCTGAAGCCAAGATTCAATAAGGCTGGAATAGTGCCATACACAAAGGAGATGGTCATTCAGTTCAGAACTTCCTCTATTTCCCAAATGTCCATGGGCACAAAGGTCACAGCAAAAGCAGAATGCAAGCCACCAACAAGTAACGTGGTAGCCTCTTTTATGAGGTCACTTCAGACTCACAAAAGAGCAGATTGACCCAGCTTTCAGGAAGGCAACCTGCCTGATCCAGACACCCTTGGGCCTGGAAAACTGAAAGGCACTGCACCAGACCCAGGAGTGCTACCATGAAGGCCACCTCTCCTTTAGTCATTATGCACACATAGCCCCAGTGGCCTGATCCACAAAAGGAAAACCAAACCTCTGTTTGAAAAGAAACGATACCCTAAAAGTGCAAGATAGCCAAGACTTACCCTGCTATTCCCAAGAAACCTCGCAATGGTAAAACTCCCCAAATGACACCCAAGACCACAGCGATGATCTGTCGGAACCAGTAGATCACATCTAAAAATTCATCCTGTAGAAAAGACAGATAGATAACGCATGCATTATCTGGAGGGGATGCCATAGGAGAGCCACAGGTAAGAGAACAGAAAAGCTGTCTTTCAAACACATCTTTCAAGGAATTTCTCCCTAAAAGCAATGCAATGTGGTTCTTGCATCACTTACTTATACTAAAATGTGATAGAAAACAATACATCTAGACATCTGAAGTGACTAACTTCTACATCCCATATTCTAAATCAAAATTTGAGAGGAGTCATTTATTTAGAAGCATTAACGAAATGGCTGTTCATAGTAATTGTGCTACTAGTCACAATAGCTCTTGGCTAACCAGGAGAAACTGAAACGGTCCCCAGGCAGAGGGCCAACTATTAACCCACGCAGCACCATCTTCCTGTCCACTGAATTTTCACTAAGTCACAGAGGGAAGAACGGATTAGGGAGGGAGAAAAGTGCTGGAGACAGGTCCCAGCATATCACAGATGGACACAGAAGAGTCCAGTCTCTGTCATGCCCAAGATCCCAGAAACCTGTCCTTAACACAAGGAAGAGAAGAAAGAAATGACACAGCAGATCAGAAAGAGTATGGTAGGTTTTGCAAGAGCTGGGCAGGGCAGGGGGCAGGACAAGGGCACCTTCAGGAAGTGCCTCCCATCCCCCCTTACAAGAACTCCAGGAAGGAAAATCCCACTTTAGCAGTCCAGAAAAACAAAGAAAAGAAGACAAATACGACATTCTTTTCAAGCTACCTAGAACCAAGCTGTCTGTGATGTTATCTTACAGACCACCAGGCAGAGTCGGAAAGATCCACCGTCAGATCCTCTAAACGGTGAGAACATCCTGAGGATCCAACCACTTTTCACACCCATTTGGTAGCATTTCTTCTCTATCTCACGCACACACACA